GTCAGCTATTTCCTCATCTATACTCGGGCATTGAGTCTTACTCAATTTGGTATTGCTTTGGATAGGTAGATCTCCCTTCTTGGAATTTTCCATACTAAACATCTTTAGTACCTTCTCCAAGTATGCGCTCTGACTAAGTTAAATTAGTCTCTTCTTTTTATCTCTCAATATTCTAATCCTAAGAATATAGGCAACTTCTCCAAGGTCTTTCATGGCAAAACACTTTTCAAGACAAGACTTAACATCTTTCAAGGTCGGAACGTCATTACCAATGAGTAATATGTCATCAACATATAACACTATAAAAGTTATTATACCCCCACTAGCCTTGATATACACACAGAACTCATCTTCACTCCTAGAGAAACCAAACTTTTTGACCTTCTCATGGAAGCAAAGATTCCATCTACGAGATGCTTGTTTCAATCCATAAATGGATTTCTCAAGCTTGCACACTCTATTGGAAAACTTTGCATCAACAAAACCCTCTGGCTAATTCATGTAAACATCCTAAGCCAACTTCCCATTAAGGAAAGTAGTCTTGACATCCATCTGCCAGATTTAATAGTCATGAAAATCAGCTATGGCGAGCAATATCCTAATAGACTTAATCTCAGGTACTGGCGAGAAGGTCTCATCATAATCAACCCCTGGGTTTTTGGTGAAACCTTTTGCAACTAGTTGAGCTTTGAATGTGTGCACATTTACATCCATGTCTGTCTTCTTTTTGAAGATCCATGTGCACCCAACTGTCTTACGAACTGGTGCATTATCAACCAAATTCCAAACTTGGTTGTCATACATGGACTGTATCTCGTTGTCTATTGCCTCTTTCCACTTAGAAGTCGTTGGGCTTGCCATTGATTCCTTGTAAGTAACTGGTTCATCTAAATTTTCCAGTATCCTATCACTGATGAATGTGTCACCGTCTGAAGTAATATGAAAACCATATAACTCAGGTGGCACACTCACCCTAGTGGATCTTCAAAGAGGTAATGAGTTATCAACTAGTTCAATTGGAATTGTTTCCTCTTGTTGAGTGCTAGTGTCATCTAAGGTTCCTTCATTGGCTAACTCTTGAATTTATTCAAGGTAAACGGTGCTCCCACTATCCTATTTGAATATGAGTTCTCTTTCTAGAAAGACTCCTCTTCGTGCCATAAAGACCACGTTTTCACTAGGTTTGTACAACAAACATCCAAAGGACTATTTTGGGTAACCAATGGAAACACATTTCTCACTTCTAGCTGCTAGCTTTTCATGAGGCTCTCGTCTTACGAAAGCTTCACAACCCCAGACTTTCATATGTGCTAACAAGGGAACTCTCCCTGTCCACATCTTGTAAGGTGTTTTGGCAACCTTCTTTATAGGGACAAGATGGAGGATGTAAGTGGCTATCTCTAAGGCATACCCCCATAAATGAATAGGAATTAAAGTACGACTCATAACAGAACGAACCATGTCTAACAATGTCCGGTTATGCCTCTTAGCTACACCATTTAACTATGGTGTCCTAGGAGGAGTTATATGTGAAACTATTCCACATTCCTTTAGATAGTCATTGAATTCGATACTAAGATACTATCCGCCTCTATCATATCTAAGTACCTTTATCTTCCTGTCCAATTGGTTCTCGACCTCATGTTTAAACTCTTTGAACTTTTCAAAGGTCTCTGACTTATGTTTGATTAAGTAGATATAGCCATATCTACTATAATCATCAGTAAAAGTCACATAAAATTGATTAGCATCTCTTGTAGTTGATCTGAAAGGTCCACATACATCTATATGTATGAGGTCCAACAGACCTTCACCGCTTTCACAAGACCATGTGAATAGTGATTTTGTTATCTTTCCCAAAAGACAAGATTCACACATATCTTATGGTTTTAGGTCAAATGATTCCAACACTCCATCCTTTTGGAGTTGGTCTATGCGTTTCTTGTTAATGTTTCCAAGACAACAATGCCACAAGCATGCCTTGTCTACACTATTAGACAAGTTAATATTAAATACACTATTACCTAAGCTATCAACACAAGTCACTGTTTCATACACACCATCACAAGGTAAAGCTTCAACCACAAAACGCCATTCATATAAACAGAAATTGAACCATTCAAATCATTAAAATAGTACTTAAAACCTTGTTTGAACAATGAATGAAATGAAATAATGTTTCTCGTTATCTCAGACGTATAACAACAATTCAATAAATCTAATCTAACATCATTATTTAAAAAAAGTTCATAAAATCCAATCTTGGTTACTGGTGAAGACTCTCTGTTTCCCATGATAAAGTTTATCCTCCCTCGCTCCACCTCCTCACTTTCTTTTAGTCCTTGCAAATCTGAATAGATGTGAAAACCACGTCCTATATCAAGGACCCATGAATGAGAAGATAATTAGTTATTAGAAGACATGGTGTAAATACCTGCTGAAACTGGCTTCATTTTTCCATCTCTGATCTCCTGCATATACTTTGGGCAGCATCGTTTCCAGTGCCCTTTGTCATTGCAATAAAAGCAATAAGCATCTTTTGGGTCGGAAACATGGGGAATCACAACATTAGGCTTGGCCTTTGGGCCACTGCTAGATGACCCAGCTTGGGTCTTGCCTTTCCAATTTTTCTTAGGATGACCTTTTCTCTTTTTCCCCTTTCCCTGTCCAATAGCCAAGACAGGGGCACTAGCAGGAGTAGAGGCTATACTTTTACCCTTCATTCCTGCCTTTGCTGTCTGCAACAAGTTGTGCAATTGGGCCAATGCCTTCTTGGTGTTGTTCAAATGGTAAGTTAGGATAAACTGACCATAACTATCAGGCAACAAGTTCAAGACCATGTCTGTGGCCAATTCCTCATCAAATTGCATGTTGAGCTTGAGAAAACGCTCTATGTAGCGTTGCATTCTTTGCACATGACTAACAACCGACTCCCCTTCCTTCATCCTGCAAGCCATGAGTGACTTGACTACTTCAAACTTTTCTTGACGAGCTCGCTTATGGCACTTTTCCATAACGTCCATGTTCATTTCAAAGGGCTAGTAGTCCTCATAGTACCTTTGCAGTTTTGGGGACATGGTTGTGACCATGATGCACGCCACTTTTGGTTGCATCATCATAGTGCTTCTTGTAGGCAACATATTCTTTCGGAGTGGCTTTGGTTTCATAAATCTGTTTGAGCTCCTTTTCAAGGACATACTCTTTGTCCTAAAAATGAAGCGTCATTTGATATTTTGAATCGAATTGTTATAATTAGAGCCATCTATAATGACTTTGGAGCAAATGTTGAGCAAAGAGAAGTTATGGTTAGAGGAAGATGAAGCAAAAATGTTTCCTTGGGTAGATATCTGAATAGATAGTTGTAGTTAAATTTCAAGATACCTCAATATAATAACCCAAATATAAAATATCAAGGTTAGGATCCAACTATGAGGATTCACAACTTAGAAATGGGATGTCGAGATCCAAGTGTGAATTTCATAAAGTTAAGTGAATGACGATTCACTAATTCCACCAAAAGACAAAACGAATGAAGTGAAATTCCTAATTCATTTGAGATACATTAAAACTATTCAATGATATGTTTTAATCTCGGATTATGCTCTTCTATTTATGACTGGGATACCGAGGATCACACACAAGATGTGAAAGCCATGAAAATATACTTGGTAACCTTATTGTCTTTATCATTATCTATTGATGTGACGGTAAACCACACCCGCTCCATCAAAAATGATAATCATGAGATACCCATTACGACTCTTTATTTGTCCTAATTAGTGTGTTGATTAACGACACGCGCTCCACTAACGACTTATAAAGCCTAATATGTAATTTAATGGGTTAGCATACTTTTCACATTTTTCCTAAAGTAACTAAAGTTGGGATTTTATAAAATAAAGTTCTAGTACTTTATTAATAACATTATACTTTTAATGAGATTAAGTTGTCTTATCAAATCCATTCTACTATCGACCCTACACTAATCAAGGAAGCGGTGGGTGAGAGTGGACACCCATTCAACTACTATTTTATAGGCAATTTCCTTATACAGCCCCCTCCCTCTTATAGACTAGCTTCAAGAATGAGGCATACTAGCGATTCGACTGACCAATTCTTATACATATATAATATTTAACTTTTAGTTATAATATATATATATATATATATATATATATATATATATATATATATATAAGGTGTGTTTTAAACTTTTAAAACTTTAGGGTTTATATAAATTTTCGAAAATTAAACCATTAATTTAAAATTTAAAATAAACCAAAAAACTAGATTAAATAATTATCTATTAATTAACTTTTAATTAATTTATTAAATCTTGTGAGGATTATCTAATCAAATTAAACAATGAATTTAATCCTAATCCTTAACCCTTCACTACTAGAAAAAAAAGCCTTTTACGACGTTCATTGTGTGTCGTAAAAGGCTCAGACGACGCGCAAATGCGCGTCAAGGAAGGCCCTGTCAAAAAGAGAGACGACGCGCATTTATGACACGCGTTTACGACATGCAATGCATATCAAGGAAGTCCCTGTCATAAAGGAAGACAACACGCATTCGTGTGTCGTAACCTTACGACGCGCGTGTTAATGACACACAATGCGTATCAAGAAAGCCCCTGTCAAGAAAGGTCATGTCATAAATGAAGATGACACACATTTTTGCGTATCATAATTTTAAATGTTTAAAAAAATTATTTTTTTATAGATTTACTAATTTTCAAATTAAATAATACATTAAAAATCTCATAATACAAAATAAAATACCATAAATAACAAAGATAATTCATTTCACTAATATGTCAAATACAAATAATTATTCCAATAGTGAGTAAATGTTATAAAAAAAATGAACTCATTTATATACAATTGCATCATCTAGCTTACTATGTGCCAACAACTCTCTGTGTGTTTACTTTTGCTTGAGTCTCGTTTCCTCCAAAGCTTCTAGCCATACCAAAATATGATATCTTGAGTCTCGTTTCAAGAACCAACATCACCTTCAATCTCCCAATTAAACTCTAATGTTGGTTGACTTAGAGTTCCATAATCAAGTTTACATCTATCACCTTCAATCACCCAATTAAACTCTAGATCTTTTGTTGTTTGAAAGAAATTGGTGTTTGTAATCTATGAAAAAAAACGCAAAGACCAAGCTTAACATTTTCTATATAGAAAGCACAACTGGACATATGAATATATAATACGCAACATAAACATTTTCATGAAAATGATATAGACAAATAAGTAAGAGTGATGATATTGATACCTTAATTACGCCATTGGTGAACGAAATTTTAATTGGCTGATAGCAATACTTGACCTCTGAAAACAAATAAACAAAGGATCGCATCATAATTAACTCAATGAAGTAATTCTTATATATTGTCTCTACCAAAAGATTCATCATGGAAACATTTTTGTTGGAAATAACTAAACAAAAACCCAAATACTAAGCAAAAAAAATTATAGTAACCACCATTTAGAGCAGGATGAGGAGTCCGATCAGGCCATATGAGACCATTTAAGCAGAAATTTAAGTTATTTGGTGTATCTCCAAAGTCACCTCCATATGCCCAATTTCGCTACCATTTGTATTTTCCTTAAGTAACCCCTGAAACCAGATGCAAATATTTAAAACAGTTTCATCAGTAAGTTTCCCCTGCAAAACGAGAGCTTAAAAGAATGTTCAAAGATATACATACAAATACAATCATTCATTAAGTGATACAGAAAACTGAGATAATAACTCAGAGAAGAGGGGGGATGGGATGGGATGGAGAAAGAAAGGAAATAGCTATGTAGATGTATCTACTAACTCACCTGGTAATGAACTTTCTGTTGGGTTTTGTACAAACAATCCTATGTGTACATACAACCCTAGCATTGGATCTATGTTTTCACTATTAGATACACAACATTATGAACACATAAAGAAACCCTAATGTGGCCTATAATTTTTGAAATTCGTGTAGAAGGTTAGAACACATACCTCTTGTTGTTATATTGTAATAACAACTTAAATCTTCAAACCCTAAGTCTTGAAAGCAAGCACCACAAGTGTAGTGCCTCTAATGGCTCACAAACACCAAGAGAAAATGGCGAGGTAATAGAGAGAGAGAAGAAGTATAGAATTTCGTCCCTAGGAACCCTTGGGAAGGCATGGACGAATTCATGAGCCTTAGGGGTCTTTATATAGGTGTATAGATTAAGGTTTCAGTCCTTATCCTTATCTAGTTGCGTGCCCACCAAGTAACAACAAGATAAGCCTTGAAAGCCCATATCTTTGGACGATTTCAAGGATACATATCCTTTAGATTTCGTCCACCCATATTCTAGGATAATCCTTACCCTATTTTGCAACTATCATATAATTACAATTCAGCCCCTCTAGTTTAATTAATTACACTTGATCACCAAATTAATTCCTAATTAATTATTGACCAATATTAATTAAACAAATATGATTTCTCCTTTAATATATTATTCTTATAACATATTAATAAATCATAATAACCTCTTTCTCTATTATTTCTCCAGTCAAGTTGCTTTGGTGAAGGCAACCCAAAAGGACAATGCACAATCGGGTCAAGTATTTACCAAATATGGTTACTGGCTTAGACACTAATCCAACAGTCTCCCACTTGCATAAGTCTAGTAACTACAAATGTAAGTACACCTCGATTTGCAATTGTAGCTCTCAAAGACGCTGTCAAACTCTATCTTATTAGTAACCTGTCCTTCAGATAAGGGATCATATATTCCTCCATTCTAGATATCGTATAGACACGAGACATGGATTGAAATTATTCTCTCAGTCTATGTGTTGTTTCTCGATTTCTGATTTACGACGACCGACTAATTGAACAAATCAAATTAGCCCTAGCCCGGCGGAGCATTTATGTTTGTCATCACTAAATCATTGAGGGCCCCAAAGATATCGCTTTTATCCCACTTTGGGTAAAAGGAACGGATAAACTTTGACTCAATGTTTGCTTGTACTCACTCACCAAATCACACACAACAATAAGTTTTATAACACCAAGTTACTGGTGTGTTTACATATTATCAATGCACAACTGATTTGCAAGATACAACTCACACATCTCGGTTTCAAGAATATAATATGTTATCGTCTCACCAATCACTCGTGATACAATCCATGGAGTGATCCAAATGAGCGTGGGTTTGATCCAATGCTCAAATTCATATTCATAAGCACTCATGAACGTTGCAACAAACATTTGCTTATGTCTAACACTCTTTAGACAATCCACACAGCAATTCATGACAGTCTTCATTCATACCTACTTCCAACATATGAACGACCGTGGCCCGTTCGAATAATTTGACTGTTCTTAATCAGTTAAATTATTCAAGAAGTCAAAACATGCAAAGTGAAACACAAGAATACTACTAATCCCATATGGGCTCAACCCTTTGAGCATAAATAAAACACCTTTTATTTATCACCATATTGATTACTCATTATTTGTTGTTTCGGGTAATCGACTTCTTACTTGAATTATTACACTTGTCCCATGCTCCTAGCATGCACACAATGTTTACCTATGGTTCTTTCTTTGTGAAATAGATCAAATTAAACACATTTCCAATCATTCTCATTTCACAACTCCAAATCCTTTTCCATAAGTGAAAGAATATCAAATTCTTGCTACTTATAGAATATGCTAGATTCTAACATTTTATGCAATGATCCTTTCGTAATGTCACTGCACCAAAGTCACAAAGACTATTGCCAATGATATTACAAAGTCCTCTATCGGAGATTGTTACAAGACACTTCCTTAGATATGATGTCTCTCACTCAAATTACATTCCTTTGAACCTCCTTTTGCATAAAATTTTCTAATCTAGACATAGATTTTCAATATTCAATTCCCAATATGGACACGTTTCCATATTTTCCATATGACAACTTATTCTTAATAGAATCCTATATATTCATAATAATGTCGATATGGTCCATCCAATATGGAAACATTTCCATATTTTCCATATGACAACTGATTCTTAATAGAATCTTTTCTATTCATAATAATGTCGATATGGTCCATCCAATACCATGCTTCCAACTACTCACAAGCAACCAATCATCGTCGAACTTTGGATTGTCCTTTGATAGTTGTTTAATTATTTTAGTCAAAACCAATTATAGTCCCTTTTCCCACTAAATGCGCTAGACATTTGGAAAATTTTAGAATGGTCAAATATTAAAGCACTTGCAATCGATCCTTTACCCGAAGCGTATGGGACACGATGCATAATGTTTTATTTGCTATGTTCTCAAAATTCGAATTGTGAAGAGGAATGCCGTAATCATAATCGAAATTTTAAGAACACACTATGTACCTTTGACTAAATTTATTAACATTTCTCAACCTAAGCCTTTAGATTTGAAATGAAGCATAATATTCTCTCCCTTAATTATAGCAAAACAACTTTACAACCCTTACGACTTTGCAAGGTATAACTCTTTTTTCTATAATTAATATTGCCAACTTGCAATACGTGCCTTAATAATCATACAATCATAACATTTGTGCTCCCACTATCATGATGATTATTATAAAACATAACAATTATGCTCCCACTAGCTTTGATATGTATTCAGAAATAGCTTAACTTTTAGAAAAACAATACTTATTGAATTTCTTAAGTTCATGTTTCTAATACATAGTGCTTTGATAATCTTTTATCAATGCTTCTTGAACTTATACACCTTTGCCTTAGATAGTTCATATGTGTGTCTAAACAATTAAGACTAATTGCCAAACCTCACAATTCAAATCATGGAAAGGGATACCGTAACCATAATCGAATTCGAGAATGCAATTTTACAATCACTATCTTCTTAAAATCTTTCTTAGTGAAAGCATTTTCTCACAATCATTTTCATGAAGGAGGAAATCTTATGACACTTAGATTTAAATGGTGTATGTGTTCCTATCTATGTGAATTTGTTAGAACCAAGGTTTACGACAAATTCAAACTCATATGGACCGAACTTTCTTAATCTTGATTTCTTGCCTTATGGTAGCACGGCTGCCCACCATGTCTTCCAAGTAGTTAAGCAACTCACCTTTTCCTATAAATGTACTTTCCATTGATCAAGTTCCTAGCCTTTTATGCATTCAAATGACAACTTATAGGACTCACATGCATAATTAACTCAATTGGAATAGCACAGAAACAAAATAATGTGTACACAATAGGTTGTTAACCTCAACTCGTGTGCTAGTGATGATCGATAAGGTTTATTTGATTTGTTCTTGAAATCTTTCAAGACCATTAAGACTCCCACTGACTCCTTGACATATAAGATTCTCTTGTCAATAAACATTTCTTGACAAACAAATATTCAAGAGTTAGTGTAGTTTTTATCAAAACACTTCATAAATTGGTCCTAGTCGGTCTTTGTCTTCAAGACATCACAACTTTCCACATTTGATGAACGTTATAAACCTTTTAATACTTGTGACTCATCGTCACAATCTTAATTTAACTTATCTAAGACTTGTTTTGGAACGAAGTATGATTGACTTCTTGATTTAACCATTTCTTCAATTCTTGATTACTCTTCTTAAACATAAAATTGTACTAAGACTCACTTAGAGGATCATTTGAGATATGGTTTCTAATCATTAAGACCTATCATAAAACATAAAATGTACTCTCCCTTCTTCTTAGAATGGAGAACCTTTTATCTTTCTGCCTACTTGATTCTTCTTATTCGTTCTGCGATTGATTTAAACCTTTTTAATCAATTCCGAATTACACTTAATCTTATCATATTTACTAAACCTTTAGTAAATCATTACAAATATCTTTGTTACTCTTATGGTGGACTTGATCAACACACAACTTTGTGCGCTTGATCTCCTAGTCCTTCACTTGACACTTTGTCAACGAATTAGTCTAATTTCCAAATATGAAATTTCTCATTCATCATGCAACCAAGTTACGTGATTCCAAATTTCTGTCCAATTGAAATTTGGGCGATGAGAAACTCTCCCTATTTGGTAAATGCTCGACATTTCCATAAATAAGAATAATATCCATTCGTTGTAGAAATATGTAAACATCAATTTTCAGAACGATTTCATTGCAAGGAAATAAACAAATAAATAAATAAGTCAAACAAAATTTATTTTATTTATCAAAGCAGCAGAAAACATTTGTCCTTACAATGCAAAATTCATTGAAAACTATGTAGTCGAATATTCCTAACAATTCTATCATAAATATATAAGCTCAAAATCTAATCTTCAAGTCCATGCGATCGATATCCATTTCTTTGTGATTAGACTCATCTTGCTCTTTCATCAAGCTTCCTTTCTTTTCACCGATCCTACAAAAACATTCAAATACAATCTTATCACATCATGTATTAAGAATCAACGAATAGGAACTTAATGGAGTTAGATAGTGGATTTTTACCGGAAGCACAGCCATAATCTTTGACTCTCCCATCTATGGAATCTTCAGGCTCTTGGGGCAGACTTCTATCCAATGCCCTTTCTCTTGGCAGCAAACGCAGGTCGCTTCTATTAGAACGTCCTCGGAAGCATGGTCGGTTGACTTTCCCAACAAATACGCTCCATTGCTTCGCCAAATCATTTCTGATTCAGCAGCAATGAGCATGTAAGTTAGGTTAATGAGGTTATCGTCATGATCCAACATATAGTACTTTTTTTTGAACTCATTATATGATTCAGGGAGTGACTGCAGAACCCAGTTCACAGCCAACTCATCGGGAAATGACACACCCAACATAATCAACCTATCGATGTGTGATTTCATTCCTAGAATGTGGGCACACATGGATTTACCATCTTCATGTTTCATTTCCAATAGGGACTTAGTGATATTGAACCTTTCAATTCTTCAATCTTGTGGGTTAGGGAGAACAATTGGAGGAGGTGGAGGAAGTGAAGCATGATTTCTTATTCCTCGATCGAATCGTGGAATACCATCTTCATGTGGACTGCTTGTTCCACGGGATTTGGGAAGACCATAGTTGTCGAACTTTGACATCGGGAGAAACAAATTCAAGTTAGTTGATTGATTGAGTCCTTAGTAAATCACCCAAATGAAATACTAAGGCTAGGACCCAACACAATATGCCACAACTCGGGAGAGGGATGTCATAACCCTAATTGCAGAATATTTGAAGGTAAGTGAATGACGATTCACTAATTTCCACCACGAAAAACGAAAAAGAAATTTAAGTTTTAAATCTATGAAAACTCCTAGATCCTTTGAGATTCATTGAACTTTCAATGGCGTGTTTAAATCTCGATATGCCCCTCTTGTTTGTGACTGGGATGTTAAGGATCACAAAGCGGGTGTGAATAACCATGCAAACTTACATGGTGCCCTCACATGTTACAGTCACCTATTCAATGTGCCGGTAAACCACACACGCTCCACCGAACTATGACAAACATGGAGTCACCCTTTGCTACCTTTGCTTAGAACCATTTAGTGTGTCGGTAAACCACACAGGCTCCACTAACATCTTTGCAAGGGCACAAAGTGTAATTTCATGGAATTGCATCAATTCACTTTGCCTAAGTAACTAAGATTGGGAATTTGTAAAACATTTAGTTACTTTTGTATTTCATTATACTTATAATGGAAGGTTTCGTCCTATCCTACCCGTTCGGCTAACGACCCTCCACTAGTAAAGAGTGTGGTGGGTAAGAGTGGATACCCATTCAATCGCCATTTTATAGGCAATTTCCTTAAACATCCCTCATAGACCAGCTTCGTGAATGAGGCCTACTAACGGTAAGACTGACTTTTACTCATACATATATATAATGTTAGACCTTTAATGTTATGTATAGTATAGGGTGTATTTTACACTTTGAAAATACTAAGTGGTCAAATTTAATAATTATACCTTTAATTCTATTAAATTTTAAACCAAAACTATTATGGATTTATTAAACCTCTTTTAATTATACTCCTTAATTAATTAATAAAACCATAAGGGTGTGATTTGAACTTTTTGAAAACAATACTAGGGTCTCAGAATTTAACATTCCTAATTTTACTTTTAATCAACTTTTAAATTCCAAAACTTGAGGGCAAGTTTTGAAACATTTCAAAACATTTGGGTTTAGAATTTAAATATACATCAAAATTAAACTATTAATCAAAATTTAAATTCCAAAACTTGAGGGAAAGTTTTGAAACTTTTCAAATCAATTTAGTTTTAATTTCTCTTAAAATTTTTCGAATTTATGACATGTAAATTAAAATTTTAAATATTAAAACTCTTGATTTAATAATTATCTTGAATTAGGCTATTAATTTAATTATTAAATCATAAGGGATTATCTAAATCATGAGGATAATTACCATTTATACATTTAAGATATCCTAATCCCTTAATTATCTCTCTAGATTTCGAAATTATGATTAGGATAATGCAAAATCTATAATTACCATATATAACAATTAGAAGATAATCACAAGATATGGGATAATCCAAATCCCTAAGATTTAGGATCTTATCTTGGGGAGGAGGCTAATTTCGAAAATCAAGGGATTAAAACAAACCCTAGATTTCGAAATTTAAAGGTTTAAGGAAAGGATTTGAAGATCTTATTCAAACTTTTGCAAATCAGGGTTTGCAAACCCTAATCTCGAAAAACCCTAGCCTCATTAGGTTTATTGGCAATAAACCCTAAAATGTCAAGTTCATACAATTGAATAAACTAATTGAAAACAAGTTAATCAAAGTCTCTGATACCACTGTTGGGTTTTGTACAAACAATCCTATGTGTGCATGCAACCCTAGCATTGGATCTATGTTTTCACTATTAGATACACAACATTATGAACACATAAAGAAACCCTAATGTGGCCTATAATTTTTGAAATTCATGTAGAAGGTTAGAACACATACCTCTTGTTGTTATATTGTAATAACAACTTAAATCTTCAAACCCTAAGTCTTGAAAGCAAGCACCACAAGTGTAGTGCCTCTAATGGCTCACAAACACCAAGAGCAAATGGAGAGGTAATAGAGAGAGAGAAGAGGTATAGAATTTCGTCCCTAGGAACCCTTGGGAAGGCATGGACGAATTCATGAGCCTTAGGGGTCTTTATATAGGTGTATAGATTAAGGTTTCAGTCCTTATCCTTATCTAGTTGCGTGCCCACCAAGTAACAACAAGATAAGCCTTGAAAGCCCATATCTTTGGACGATTTCAAGGATACATATCCTTTAGATTTCGTCCACCCATATTATAGGATAATCCTTACCCTATTTTGCAACTATCATATAATTACAATTCAGCCCCTCTAGTTTAATTAATTACACTTGATCACAAAATTAATTCCTAATTAATTATTGACCAATATTAATTAAACAAATATGATTTCTCCTTTAATATATTATTCTTATAACATATTAATAATCATAATAACCTCTTTCACTATTATTTCTCCAGTCAAGTTGCTTTGGTGAAGGCAACCTAAAAGGACCATGCACAATCGGGTCAAGTATTTACCAAATATGGTTACTGGCTTAGACACTAATCCAAAACTTTCACCCTATCACCTTTGTGTGCATGGATTTCACAAGATGCTGGTTTGAACTTTGGAGGTTATTAATAATACCCTCAAGTTTGGGTAGACTCTGGAAAGAGAAAATATAATTTAAATTAAAAATTAAAAATAGCAATGTGGTTTTAATTTGCATAATTTAAAGAGAGAGAGAGAGAGAGAGAGAGAGAGAGAGAGAGTATGAACCTTGATAACCAAAAAATAATTTAAATTAAAAATTAAAAATAGCAATGTGGTTTCAATACTACCCTTTTGCAATTCCCTAGCATTTCTGGTGCCATTTTATCAAGATTCATGCCAAGTTCATCAGTTATGACCTACAACAAATTTATGGAAACAGAAACAAATTTCAAATCAAAATGTATACACAAAAAAGAAGTTGAAAATATGCAAAAAAAAAAAAAAAAAAAAAAAAAAAAAATGAGACCCACCTCTCCTCCAGTCAGAGTTGAAAGATCCTGCAAGTTTGACTTTCGGTTCTCTCCAAAACCAGGGGCTTTAATGGTGCAGACCTACACAACAATATGCATTGGAAGAATTATAAGAAACAAATAAACAAACATTTGATGAAATAATTATATAAACAATTATAAAAAATGATACCTTGATACCAGCAAGGAGTTTGTTAAGAATGAGAGTGGCTAATGCCTCACTGTGTAACTAGTGTTTACTTTGACATTGACATCAATTCGTTGAATCAATCTACACTCAGCCCAATCATAGAAAGATATAAAATCATTTGAACACATTGCAAGTAAAAATCCTCCGAATATTTTCTCAGCTGAAAAAGCTGGCCGAATGCTTTTCTTTTCCTGGTTAAATTAAACACCCGAAACATAAATCTTTGAGTAGATTAGTAAATGAGGGATGTACCCTTTGGAATGTTATGGGAGAACCTGAAAAGATTTGTTGAAGATCTTGATCTTAGATGTACTTTCCCTAACAACATATTCACCATCAGATGATCAAACAATCTCTAATGCAGACCTAAATGATCTATTTCTCCATGCCAAAGCTGTATATATGATGTATTCACCATCACCACAGACAACAACAAACGTCCCATTTGGGTTGTGCTTCAAGCTCTGTGGAAAAATAGAAAAGTTAAAGTCCATATGGTTGACTATTTTCAGTTTAAAGGAAGGTAGGAACAAGCATAACTCACTTGTGGATAAAGATCACATGTTCCCAGTTCTTTAACTGCTAAATGCAGCCTCTCTCCATCAGAAACCTGAATTAAAAATAGATTTTTATTTTTCCCATTTCATTGTTGACATAACATAACATGTATATGGGCTTTAAAGTCCAAACCTCATGATCAGCTCCCACTATTGTCCATGCTGGCTACAGGCTCTTCACGTCCAATTTTTACCATTATGGTTCCTTCATCATAGCCAATAACAATCATGTAAAAACAATAATTAAAATAAATCCAGATGAATGAAGAAGCATCAAGATTCAAGACCCACAAAACAAAAAACAAAAAGTGCTATACAAACTTACTGACGTGAACCTTTCATGTATCCAACAGCCCAAACCCTTTCAAGTCCATAGTTCAAGGTGTTCTCAAGTCTAAATAAAAAAAGAGTGGCATAAAGTCAAAAAGTTTACATTTTTAACATATGTATAACGAGGGTATTTTGGTCTTTTGATAGGAAATGAAGAAAGAAATTGAATTCCTTCCATCCATCAAACATTGAATTTGAAGGAATCCAACAAAAATTGAATTCCATCCATTTGGAAACCAAACACACCATGGAATGGAATCTAGCATTCCGATTCCTTCAGAATCTACAAAAAAAAACACACCCTTACAGGTAAAAAAACAAGAGCTCACCTGTAAGTGGTTGAATGCTATATACGAACAATACCATCTTCTGAACCTATCATTATTATTGGAAGCTCGAGATGGAAACATACAACAAAAACATTGTGTGTGTGACCTTCTAGAGTTTGGACACAGGTTTTAGTTTGATAATACCATACCTGTTTCAAATTATTTATAACATAAAATGAAATTTATAGACACATTTATACACATAGCCAAAAAAAAGGGGACAAACCTTAGCAGTGTGATCATTTGATCCAGTAATAAGATAAGGTTTATCACCACCAGCAAAGTAATCCGCACAGTTCACTCCCTTGAGATGTGCATCCAGTTGAACCAAGATTCCAAATCTAAAATTAAAAAGATAGTTTTAAACTGTTGGTTATCAATGTATTAGTTACTGGTAGACAATTAAGCATGTTCTAATTGAGATTACCTTTATAGTGTGATCAGAGGGTCATCTAATTCCTGTAAAAACAGAGAGATTGTCAGATATTAGATATATGATAACTCATTGGTAACAGAAGAGGCAATTTGTAAATACTAATTCAAGGGACAAGTTCTAGAAGCCATATATTCAACTATTTTTTTAAAATATTCCACCTGTAATGTAAACAATCACACATTATATTTTTTTCAATCAAGATGAAATCTCTTACCTTTTCTTCGCTGAGGGGGACAAGTTCTCCATAAATGTTCATGACCTTCAGAATCAGGCTGTTGAGAAAAGAAAAAAACAGAATCAAAAAAATATTTTTGATGTGAATTGAACCATTTGAAATCTTTTATAAATATTCCCAAAAAATTACCCGTTTTCACACTCCCATTCCCCCATTCCCATTCCACTGTTTTCCTTTTCTTCAATATCAAAAATAACACCACAACCAGAACCAGATGATTTGAACGATTGGTGTAAACAGTCAAATGTCACTACCAATACTTCAGAAGCATCATTTTGCTAAGCTGCATTTCTGAGAAAGTGAGATGAAGTAGGAAAGAAAAAGATTTTAATCCTTTTTTAATGTAAAAAACAAAATCTTTTTATAAGTGTAACTAACCTCAACAGACATTTGTTCTTTTTGTTTTTGGATCGCAACTTCTATGCAAGATTCGAACTGATGGAGAAAGTCGTTCACCCTCCAACTGTCTAATTGTGGAGGGTGGCGACATAGAAACATGCCGATAGCCTAGGCTACCAACCATGGTGGTAGATGGTGCTTGGCGGGGAAAACAGAAAAGAAGGAGAAGAAAATAATAGGAATCGATACCTTAATTTGGAGAAAAGTTTGTCTCGAAGTCCTCTTCCCCCTCTTCCCTCGATGGTGACTCATAAATCCGACAGACCCACACAAAAACCTTGAACAATTCCCTCTCTAGCCGCCAAGACGAACGAACAGAAGATTAGGGTTGTTTTGTGATGCTAATGGTTTGGTTAGAGGGGATGTATGAACTAAATATGAGCAATCGTCCCTAGCAGAAGATCTTAATGGGACCCTGATGTCAATAGAAGCCTTTCATCCCAAGGATACCTGATGTCAAAACGTGGCCGCCAATTAGGGTTTTTTTTCATGTGGAGGATTTAGTTGGAGGTTTTCATGCAGAGAAAGCCCGAGTTGTGTTGGATGAAGGACTAGGGTTGGAGGCGTTAGAGGTGGGTGAAGATGAAGTCGATCCCTAAGGCTTTTTTCTTGCTAATTCAAAGATTAGGGTCGATGGCTGAGAAAGGATCGAACATGCAGGGGTTTTGATTTTTAAGGATTCCATTCCCCCCCTGGTTTTGATTTTTATGGATTCCATTTTCCCCCTTAGCTATTAAAACGCGCGTTTAATTAAAATTATAAAGCGACAGCCACAGACGACGCACGTTTAAGATAAAGCACCCTCCGTGTTTTTAATTTTTTTTTAGACACTAATTCAAGGGCACGCAATAATGCGTGAGCTAAGTCCTTAAATTTTGTGAAGAAGTGACACTTTTTTAACATCACTCTCTTTTGCGTAACATAAATCTCCGAGTGTCGTTGTTTGCGTGTTGTAAAAGGGTCTTTTTCTTGTAGTGCTTCTAGATTTTGAAAATTAGGGTATAGGATAATTTCCTTATTTTTCTCAATTATCCAATTAGGCAACAATTATCCAAAACAAGAACCCTAAAAATAAGAGGCATTTTTTGAAATCAAGGGAGGGAGGCTAGGGTTTTTCAAAACCCTAACCCTAATTTCGATTAGGATTCATGGAGACTACGGTTTTTCGAAAAACCCCTTGAACCAAAAACCCTAAAAACGAAAGCATGGCCTTTTAAGGTTTAATATCTATAAACCCTAAGTTGCAATTCAGCTATTATATCAATTCAATTTAAAACAAATCCAATGGCTCTGATACCAATTATAGGTTTTGGGTAAAACAAATAAGCTAGAAAAATAATTCCTGAGTCCACATGCAACTTACTTTGGATCTATGTTTTAACTATTGAACATATAACTTTGAATTTCAAAACAAGAACCCTAAGAGAGGAGGCTATTTTTGAAATTAACCAATTAGGGTTTTAGAGTTACATACCTTTCAATTTTTATAGTAAACAATTGGTAATCCTTTTGATATTCATCTTCTTGGAAGCTTAGCACCATAAATGCAATGCCTCTAATGGAATCACACCCAAGAACTAGCAAGAAGGAAACTTATGAGGAGAGAGGCTAAAGTATGCAATTTTTGGCCTAGGGTTTCTTCAAAGGAAGGAGTGGCCGATTTGGGAGCCAGAGGCCTCCTTATATAGCTGAGGTGGCTAGGGTTTAGGGAAACGCTAAGGTTCCTTTGCTTAGGGCCTAAGCTTATCCAAAGGCCTTATCCAAGCCCCTTGGACAAAATCATTTGGGTTTCCTCTACAGATTTCGTACACCCCCTTCTAAGGAGGTTCTGGAGCCTTCCATTCAATTATTAGATAATTGCAAACCAGTCCCCGCATTTTATAACTAATACAATTAACACCAAATCAATTCTAATAATTTCTGGCTAACTATTAATTAAACAATTATGATTTCTTATTAATATATTAATCTTTTAACATATTAATAAATCATTTATATTAATTTATTAATCTTATAATAAATTAATATCTCTCCTTTCATAAATTCCTTGTCCAGTTGCTAGGTTTGAGGGCAACCTAAAAGGACTGTGTTGCAATCAATTCAAGTACATACCAATTATAGTTATGGGTGTAGATACCTAATCTAACAAAAGCATGCTATTTTTTATAAGCTATCCGTACTATTTTATGAACTTATGGAACTTTGCTTTATAAACTTGTTGAACTCAATTTTGTAAACTTACCGAGCCTTGTTTTATGAACTTAATGAACTTGGAACGATATTGTTTTATGAACTTGATGAACTTGGAACGATATTGTTTTATGAACTTGATGAACTTGGGACAATACTCTTTTATGAATTTTATGTTATGAACTCTTGATATGAACTTTCTGATATGAACTTGTTATAAACTTTGTATATTAAGTCCCCGAGAACCGAACTACAACCTATTAAATCGTATTTTGAGCTAACAGTCTTATGGATAGTGCTATTTGGGGTAGACAACCCCCACCCACCGAGAACTGTGAGTGCATATTATCGTGAACTGACACCATGGGAACCATGGACATGATGGAATGGGGCAAGAACGGTCGTTAGGCTTGGTTGTGAATGGAGTGCCTTGGCACTTAACACTTATTTTTAGTTGGAAATTTTATTAAACAAATTTATATTTTCTTATTGAAATGATGTACCTTTACAAACTTGTGAACTCACCAACTATTTTATAGTTGATCCTCGTTTTTGCATGCTTTTCAGGGAATAGTCAATAATCTAAATTAGAAGTCAACAGGAATTTGCACTTGATGTTTCTTTTGTTATGTATTAGACTTTGTACTAGGGAACTAAAATGTAATTTTTCTTTGAATATGATGTAAACTTAAAATTCTTAATGATTATGGTTGGTAATCCATGTACCTTGTGTTATGAGACCTTAGCTTGTCACCCTTTGTGTTTCCGCTTTAACGGGGTGTGACAGGTGATATGTATAGTTGTTGTGAGCTTATGTGTGTGCTTTGCTGCAACTGTGAGCTCAATACTGACTGTCGAAGTGTGTATAGATTTGGTCCCTACAACTATTATGTGTAGGTACTGAGCTATTGTGCCAATGAAAAGTAATTATTAGAATCTTGTATCGGTGGCCCTTAGAGAATGGATCCATGCGGCTGTAGGATGTAAGCATTGAACATTGGTGGTTGTTGTGAAAAGAGCAGAACGTGTAACATACCTGATATGGGAGAGAATTGATAGTTCACCATTGGTGTTTCACGGAGGACAACATGGTTACTGGGGACCAAGTGTTCATCCCTACTTGCTTCAACAATGATTATGGCTAAGAAACTAGTGGTTGTGACTGCTGAGTCGGTGCTTGTGACTACTGAGTCACTGTCATATGTGGTGCTATGTTCATAGTTATGGTTAGGTTCTCTATTGTGACTAGTGACGGTTGCCATAAGGCAGCTATTTCCACCACTCTGGTTTCTGATATGGACGTTGGTGCTTATGTGCCTGGCGTTTGGGTAGAGGATTGTCCTTTTAATGTAGATGCTTGTGTGCCGTCGAGCAAAGACATAGATTTGAGTGGACTTGCCTCTACTCCATCGGGCACCGTAGGTCTTTTTCACGTCAACACCAACATCTAGTGTCGTATCAAGGTTGTGTAACTCTGAGTACATGCCCAGATGGTGCCTAATGTTGTGATATGTGCTTGAGGCTTCGTGTCGTCACTTGATGATTCCGACTAGGTTGAACATTCTGATCATAATAATAAAGAAGGAACATCAATCGACATCGGGAACGTAGTCTCGAGATGAAGCTCTGATGGTCTAGTTATTATCGGTGTAAGTGGGAATATGAAGATTAGGGTTTTAGTGAGTAGAAAGCAATCCCTCCCTTGGAGGGGATGTATTCCTTTTATGTTTATCTTCTTCTGAGCATGATCCCAATAGTATACTTTGTCCTGTCTGGGCCGACAGGACGTGGAGGAAACCCATTGGTGGATCGTGCACCAATAGTGTTCTTCTACTACTGGTGCAGAAGAGATAAAGTACAACAATCTAAGCTTTACACTTTTTGCCCTAGGAATTCAGGCTAAGGATAGGTTTGGTGTTTTTTTGGGCCTTAGTGTCCATGTAATTTTGGGTTTAAATGGTGCAGACCTAGGTGAGTTAGTTGATTTTGAGGTTTCGAGGACCTTACTCGAGGTAGTGCCAGCTAATTCGCAAGACTTAAGAAGGAGGCGATTGTGATGATCGACTCGAGGGTTGCAACCGGAGGCTGAGTGATTGGTTGATGGATTGGGATGTATAGAAGTGTCAGAATACACAAAAAGATTAGTGTGGTATGATTTCCTTGAGATGAGATCAAGGGTTTGCTTCCTTTAAGTTTAGTTAAGTCACGTCTGGCTTGATTGTTTTAGGTGATCAAGGGCGGTACATTGGGAAGGATAACTTTTGTTGTCCCTGATGTATCCTGGCTATGAGAATGATTCCTCTTGAATTTATGAATGATGCTCGCCATGAAATGTTTCCTGGAGCTTTATAAGTGAGGTGTGTGGTAGAACATTTGTTTCTAGCTAAATAATTGGTGTTGTGACTAGACCGACAAAATTATTGTTTGTGCATCTGCAAGGGATTATTGGTGTTAGGGTGGTTATGCCTGGGAATTTCTGGGGTCTCCATCAGAGATTCAAAATCTCTTTGAGGTTGGTTGGTCCTTATCTAAAGGATCATCTTGCATTGTGATTTACATGTTAGGGATCATGGATGGTATGCATTTGGTAGAGCCAGTTTGAGTTTTGCCTATTTGAAATATCATTTGGTGGAATATTGAACCCTAAGTAAAGGAGAACTGGGTATTTTGTTTGGAGGATCAACGATCTGTTAGAGTTTGTGGTTTCAGAAGAATGGTTCACAGGTATCTGTGGGTTGGGTATGCAAGATTTTGGTTCAAGATTTGGTGAAAATGGGGTGCAGGGTAAATGCCATCAGATATATGTGCTCAGGAATGTAAGATTCGTCTTCACTAGAGGAAGTTGTTGGACAAGGAACTCTTTGTAGCCAATGGTTCCTTCTGATAATGTTGATGAATAGAGCAAGAGG